ATTTTCTCCATTTAAGACTGTCAACAGTTTAATGTTCAAATCCACTGTTTCCAAACATTAACCTTTGATGTCTATGTGACACAGCGAATGTGCAGTACAGCTGGGCACGTCATACTAGTATACTATCAAACCGTTACATCTGGAGCTAAATCCCCTATTTCCATGAATAAACTGACAATATAGCAAACAATTTAATGGAAACTGAACTACTGATTCTGATAGTTAGTAAGAAACGCATTTTACATATTTCAACTCCGTTGAAAATTACAGAAGCAGGACACTCATAGTGGCAATTCATTGTCTTTCTAATTGATCATCCAGTTTTAGCTCAAGTGCTTACATTAAACGCTTCATGTCACTAGAAACACAAAACTGGCATTAATCTTCTCTTTTAACAAAAGTACACATTATGATTCAGAGAGATAAAATATGTGTTACATCAACATTTTTTTCTCAAATAATAAAATTAATTAAATTTTTCTAAATACATAATCTTTGGTATTTTGTAAGAAAAGTGTCCATTATCCATGTCCTACTGATATTCAGGAGTAATATTAGCACAAGTAAGTGTAGGGTATTGTAGTTTCGTAAAGAAATGGATACTTGGACAGAGTGCAATTTCTGATACGGGTGTGGGTGTACATAAAATACAAAAAAACATCATGGTATACTTCCAAGCAAAATGTTAATTTTTCAATGTGATAATTATAAATGATGATTACTATAAACAGAAAATTATAAAAATGGTACTGATACAGATCTCTGAGTTTATCTTCAATTTTAAAAAAAATTTAAGCTATATTAGTGTAAATTCTACACAAAGGTAGATTGCTAATTTGTATTTTTAATAATTTATAAGTTTGGCCAACTTCTATTCAGTAGGAACCATTTGAGAGTAAAGAAAGTATAATTCATTGTTTTTCATGGTATATTTACGGATCACAATGTACTGAACATTTGTTATCAATATCCCATAAGCCTTTACAGGAGGACAAAAGCTGCATATGTCCTCCTCCAACACAGGATGTCAACCCATTAATAAGAGAAATGAAATAATTACATACAAGCAAATAAATATTATAATGCCATATTTTATAGTGATCTTAACATTTAGGTTTCTTGATGTAATCCTTCAGAACCCTAAAATGCACTACACTGATGATGACTGCATTCAATAGTTTTTTAAAAACTAATATTCAGTTAATTTTTCAGGCCTGAAAATGGTGGGTTGCCGTGTAGAGGTAGCGATCGCAGATACAGGACATGTTTTGCTGAACAATGTGGGAATGTTCAGAAAACTACTATTCGAGATTTTGCTGATCAAATTTGCATTAGGGCTCGAGAGGTTGACACAGAACTGCTGGGAACTGGAGTTCAGAGGATAAGTTCTGATTGTGAGTTGTTTACTTAATAATGCTTCACTAGCTATTTATTATATATGGAGGAACATGTAAAAATGATTACGAATGCTGAACTGGGAAGAACATGCTCAACATCATTAAAAAACTGCGGGATTAAGGACAATCAAAAGAATCCTGTCATGACAGAGCATCTCTGGGGAAGAATTCAAACCAGGGTCCTTCCAAATATGAAGTGCCAACCAATAAGCCACAATATTTAGTCAGATTGTAAGACAAAGCTGATTTCTCAATTAATGCATTATAATTACTATAATATTTAAAGTTAGTAATAAATTACAAGTAATTCACTATTACCTTATTTCTGCCTCAGACTGTGTGTGTATAAGTAAAGAAATATAGGATAGTCAGTAACTTATTATCAATAACAAGCTTAGGCCTGATGTACATGAAAGACAGATTACGATTGAAGTTGATGACAGTCACCTCATTATACCTATCATTCACATGCATTACTACGGTGTGTCTGCCTGTCATACTATGTATATGCTTGTCATGGGAATAAAAATAATAACAGTATGGGCAAATTAATGTCAAATCCACTCGAGTATACTCCTCACTACAAAATGAGAAAAAATTGGTACTTCCTAAATATTACATTATAGGAAAGATATTTAAGAATGAAGACTTTTTTTAATAAGAACCATCCAGGTACAATCATGTGGAAGAAACTGGAAGCCAAAGGCTCTAAATTATGGAATATTTGTTAATTACAGAATAGCACATACAGAAGAAAATTGTTAAGCATACAAATTTTGGTGAAAACATGGCATTTCATTACATTAGCAGGCAGCAGGGACCACTGTTCTGCTGGATTAGGGTGTCTATTAAATGAAAATTTATTTATAAAAACCAATAAAATGTCTCTAAAAAGAACCAAGAATAATGTATGACTGAAATGAGGGGAAAGTTCATACATAACATGGAAAGTAAGGCAATGACCATGAGGAAACATAAACTCTTACAATGAGTGACTTATAACGCCTTTACATATCTTCTTCTTAATCTCTTTCGAGACTGAAACTTGGTTAACATTTCAGTGGAAGAAGCATGTACTGTATGGTGTTACAAAAGAAGTGGAGGATCCAAAAGTCGAGGATGGACATTCCCTGATGGTACAACCTGTCAGAGTCATCAATCACGATATGGAAAATCTATGTATTGCATCAGTGGTAGATGTGAGGTAAGATCTGTAGAACATGTATCATTGAGAATACATTGTTTTTATTCATTCCAAAATTGTAAAATGTTGTAAGAAGTTGGACACGTGCCAAGACTCTGGTAATAGAACAAGGATCAAAAGTGAACATGATTCTAACCCAGTTCAATCCAATTCACAACCTAATATCCTAAGATAAATTTTAATATTATATTTTCATCTCCTTCTCTGTCTTCCAAGTGGTCATTTTCCATAAGTTTTCCCCCATCAAAGCTCTATACGCATTTCTTGTATACTCTTTCTTAGCTATCTGCCCAAACCAAAGTAACATCCTAGATTTTACTACCCTAACAATAACAGGTAAATTATGTAAATTGTGATGTTCCCTTTATGTATTGTATTTTATTCTTCACACAACCTCCTATATACTCTTCCTTTCAGCTACATAAAGACCAAAATAATTAGTAAAACATACTCATAACATAATAAATATGAAATCTGTCACAAGCTTCATTTTGAGAGCCAGGTGTTAATTGATGACAATGTATCAACCACAAACATTATCAATTGAAATGTGTTGATTATGAATAACTTAGAGGGGTAAGGAAGGAAGCTACAAAAGTATTAAAGAAACAGAATTATTTCCATACAAATATTTTAACAGCATCTAATTGTAATTAAAAGAATAATCCACATAATGGTCTCATCTTTCTTTGGTATGTCTGGAGAACTGCTACAGCTAGGTACTGTAAAGATATGTAAATCATAGGGACTGGGAAGGAAAAAGAACAGCAGTAGGTGGTATTCCAAACGGAGCTGAACATTCTGAGAAGAAAACTGACAAAGGAAATTTTAATCAGGTATATTACTACATACAAAATAAAAGTTATTACTAATTATGACAATGCTCTGCTCACAAATTTAAAATTAATTTAAGTTAATGTAACTTTCCAACTCAATATATAGTCTTCCTTGAGCAGTCAATACTTATTCAGCTGATTAAGACATTTTCTGATTTTATGGGATTTGAACATTCTACATTTTGTTCAAAGAAGACCACCACCACCTTACCTAGTTCAATTCAGTTAATACATTCTCATCTCTAATATAAATAAATATTTGAATATTACCTTCCCATCTACACCTAGGTCACTCAAATTGCTTCTCCCTTTGTTTCCTAACAATATTAGGTAAAGAGCATAAATTGTAAAGCCCCTCATTATGTATATTTCTCCATTCCCCTAATATGGCAAAACATTCTCTCCAGCATTTTGATTTGAAACACTGCCCACATATATAAAAGACTGTTAATGGATATAATTCTTCCCAAAATAGACAACTAATTCTTATTGCAGGAGTTTGTCTGTGATCAGTATGATGTGGCAACATTCAGTACCCTGCCTGAGCTGTGTCCTGGGCCCTCAAGAGGAGAAGGAGACCTTCAAGTCTATGACTCATCCTTCTTTGCTCACAGCAAGGGTCAAAGGAGAGAAGTGCCCAAGGCTCATACACTGTGGAGTCCTGCAAGTGGTTGCCACTTCAACTGTCTTGCTCCAGGGCGCGGTCTTAGACTAGTGATAGCGAAAGATACGAAGTGTCACCTGGAGGACAACTGTGAAGGAGGGAGCATCACCAGCATCCAACTCTGTGAGCCAGACAAACTGGTATGAAGGAGGAAACAAGGCCTGTGATGGATAAGTGAATGAAGGGCTGGAAAATGATTCATAATGAGAAGCTTCATAGCTTATAATATTCATAAAATATTATTAGGGTAATCAAATCTAGGACATGTAATGTGCATGGGATTGGGGGTATGGACTGAATTCACACATGTACTGTTAAACATTTAGACTAAGCATTTTCAGGGGGAAGAAAAGCATTAAGAATTCCTGAGTAGGTGGAGCCTCTTGAAGAACAACCATTTTAAAAGTAAGATAGGAGAATAATACAAAGAGCATTCTTAGGAATACAGGCTGAGAATCACGAGTGGTTGGAACCAGTGGCATGTTTTGGGTGGTGTTAAACCTCTGGGTCTTATTACTACAATGTTAACTGAGGATTGAAAATATCTGAAAAGCACTATATACACTTGAACCACTCAAGTTGTTCATTCCATTACAAATCAATAAACTTGTTCGTTATGAAGATCACATGGTACATGTAGCATGGATAGAAAGCTATATTTTGCGTCAGTATACGCTAGAACTATATGTGTGCTATTATAGTGTCAATAATGCTGTGATAACTCAGTATCAACAGTAACACCATATTTTTAGCACAGGAGTTATTCCTTCACATTAAAGATGATTTAAGTCACCATACTGCAGGGCTGTGAGCCTGACTTCAGCTATGTGGTTAATGGTTTAGGGGTATGTTATTGTGATGTATGGCCAGCTGGACTGTGTGAGTCACAATGCACAGTCAACAGGTGTTGCTTGGAGCATTGCTTTCATAAGCTGTCAGTTTTAATGAAAGAATGTGAATGAGATATGTATAATGCTTTATGCATTCACTTATCATGCAAGAATATAAAGACTTTAGTAATGGTATCACTTGCTGATTTCAGGGATGTGGCAGGCTCAAAACTCCATTTGAGCATGCAACCACAGTATGCAGAAAGTACAGAGAGAGAGTAAGAAGGCTATCCGGTTTGGGGATGCAGATTTCGCCTGTTGCTCGTAAGACAGTCCTTACTGAACAGTAGTGATACTGATATATAATTTAAAATCAAAACAGTGGAAAAAAGGATTCTACTTTTGCACTCTATTTTATGATGTACCACTCAGTAGATGCAGAATGACAAACTGATTTAGAACATCTGCAGTTTAGATGAAATGGTTGCCTTTGTTATTCTTTTGAGTACGAGGGATCTAATTCCACAGCTCCTTTAAGCCAAAATTATCAACAAAGCAGCCTGCTGCTGTCACTGTCCATGTTGTGGCATGAAGAACACTTTTGGAATTTGTGTACTTCAATG